TGGTTTCAAAACGGCGAATTTCGCCGAAAGGTGAGTGATTTTCATGTCTGATAGAGGAGTGGACCTTACTTATTTCATGAGAAAATATGTTAATAAATATATAAAAATTTGTATGATGTTATTCTGGATTTTTTTTAGATATTCCGTCTCTCAATGTTAAAATGTACCTACGATTCAAATTATACACAGTTCCATTTTTTGTAAGTGGGCAAACCTACAAAATCAGCAGAGGATCAAATAATTATTGCTCCCACTGTATTAGCTGATTCACCAGTTTCTTGACAAGGAAGAACAAAATGTAGAATAAAAGTGACAATATTCCTGGTCCTGCAGACTTTTTTTTTTTTTTTAAACCTGTCAATTGTTAGTCTGACAATGTTATTAGAGTGCAGTGCAAATCAGTGGAGCACCAAAAATTGCAAACATTCTGTACATTTTCATTTGAAATCAACATCAAGAACATTCATTTCTGTTTTTTTCACCATCATTCCATACCACTTTACAGCTTTTAGAAAAATCTAACTTTCCCTGTTCATAATAAAAACTTGACATGAACGCCAACAAAGTGGCACTTAACGGTAACTCCCACATAAAATGAATGAAGCATTAAGTACATCACAGCAGGCAGTGAGTGAAGTGAAAGAGCTTTAGTCTATCATTACTGTGCACATTCTGATGTTCTGCTTTGTTGCTTGACATATAGTTCAAGATTTCCTCCTCTTAGGCAGCAGAAGGAATTTTCTGGAGCACAAATGTGTATTAGGACAGGAAAACAACAGGATGGAGCTGCTACTGGATTTTTCTCCGGTGGCGGCTGCTTGAGCGGTTCCATTCAGTGTACATGTACTCTGTACATAATTAATCACACACACTCATCTCCCTCTCACTACAACTGAGCCTGAACAAGGCTCAACTTTAATGAAATTCATACCAAACAAATGAGAGGAGGACCAGGATGTGCAGAGGCAGACAGGAGTTCCAGCGAGTGAGAACAAAAACCTAGTCTCATCACGATAACTTATGAAACATACCTCTCAAGAGATCACTCTCATATTCAATGCAGACACTGTACAGGAAATAATTTTTAGTCAGCAGAGTGAAGTTTTTTGCGGAGGCTGAAGCAGTCAGACAGTGACAGCTCATGGTGCTCTGCTGTTTTAAGAGCTTGTCAGGAGCCAGAGAGGACAGGGAATAAATAGTCTATAGGTGGACACTTGTACAGCAGACAGTGTGACACAAACTCCATTAAATGATTCTGGAGTTTAACGCTTTGCTGATTAGTGGCTTCTTTCCTGGGAGCACAGAAGTTACAGCATTTTCAGAACCTTTTTGCAAAAAAATACGACATAGCTGCTCACACAGCAACCTATTACACAGTAAAGCAGCTATTTATTGATTAATTAATCCAGTATTCTACCAATTATTCCATTAGTTAATCGAGTAATTGGATAAAGAATACTTAGATAGTTACTACGATATAGAAAATAAGACTTTTAGATGTTAGTGTTTCCTCTAGGGTTTCTTACAGCAGAGGA